TACTCTTGAGCTCACTATTACCTGCCTTTTCATCATCTCTCTTACCATAAGGCGACCATGGTTTGATAGAGTCTAAATCAACCATTGAAAAACTTCCAGTCTTTTCTTTCTTGTTCAAAACATCATCRGSTGCTGCATCATTTCTCTGGAGCTCTGGCTTTTCATCATCTCTCTTTATCTGACAGCCTGTGCTACAAGGRGATTTTGGATCTAATGCAGCATGTTCTTGTAATTCTACAGTATCATTATCCTTTGAAGTGTTTTCCTTGTCCTGGTTTATTTCTTGCATCAGTACATTTACCACAGTGTTAATAGTGTCATTAATAAGTTTGTCCAGTTCACATTCAAAGGTGATTTTGCTCAGCAGTAAAGCATTAGATTTACTATCTTCATTGGCATCAGAACTAACAGACATGTTGTTGTTGTTGTTATTTGTACTTGCGCCATCACCAGTACCCTGGCTATTACCACTTGCATCACTTTCAAATTCATCCTCRCTAAGATAAATGTTACTGGAAGCATCATCTTCAGGTTTTAATTCATTCTCATTGGGGCAAGAACAATGGTCACTTTCTTTCAGCAATTGGGGTTCTCCAGTGTTACTACCAAGTTTTCCGTCATCATTTTTTGTGTTGCTAACATCAGTAACTATTGTTGGTGTTGTTTGTGGAGGAAGTTGCATGCATGGTAGGGATTTCTTGTCTGTTTCTACTTCAAMGCTATGTGTTTCTTCCCTTGTTGAAKTTGCTGCAACTTTTTGTTTGGCAGGAAAGCAATACGTAGCTATATTATTAGGTTCACTGGTTTGCAAACAACTTTGGTTGGAATTTGTWGAAGATGATGAACTTGTTTTACAAGTAATTTTGCTTTCTTCTTGCTTAGTATTTACATTGTTATCAGTACCTTTGGGATTGCTACATTYATTTGCCTTGGAAGTTTCACCTTTATCTAGAAGGAAACAACAAAAACTTAACAAGATTTTTCTGTTCGAGAAATCACTAAAAAATCTGGGAATTCAGTGTTTGAAAAAAAGGGTGATTCTAAATTTTCAAATAAATACCTATCTTAATGGAAGTTAGTGATTATACCTTTCAAAGGACTGTCTTCCACTTTGATTCCATATCTAAAAGCAGCACGCTTAAAGACAGACTCCCAATCCTCTTTGACATTCTCTCTTTGGTATTTCTTATGAATTACATTAGGTGCTTCAGTAAAGGACATAGCGTTATCCATGACTGGAGAATAAAATGATGCACTGCTAGTGCTTGGCACACTTCTCTGGATCGATGGGCTACTAACAAATGGCACAGTCTGCATACGGATTGGAGTAAGGGAAATTGTTGGGGGAGGYGGTGGTGGTGGCTGGAAACTGTGACAGCCCCATGGTGGCAGCTCTTGAGGTACAAAGATTGGTGTTGGATGCTGTGGCAAATCATACTGACACAATGGCTGTTTATCGAATGGTGGACAGTCAATTGGATATGGGAAACCACCATATGATGGAACGGGAATGAAATCTTGACCAATGAAGTTCATCTATAATATCAAACACGGTTATTTCATAAATACCTTAACTTTTCTTTGATACGGGTACCAAAATTCATTCACAAATCATTTTATCTTTCTGTCATCAAATTKKGAGACATGAAACTTGCATGTGAAAGTTGCAACTACACATACAATAAACATCCATAATACTCTCTGCTCTGACGACTGTTGGAATGTATTACTAAATGTAGATGCACTTAGAGTGTTTTAGTATTCAACTGAATTTTTGTTTCATTTGAATTTTGAGCCTGTCATTATTTCATTAATTATAAGTAATAGCATGGCTCTGAGGGAGATTAGGGATTAAATGTCCCCGAAGCCGAGGGCAGATAAGTTGAAGTCCCGACGGCCGCAACTTTGTAATACCATGATTTCCGAGGAAAAAATTCAAGTTGAACTTGAGCGAATTTGAATTCTTGTTTTTTTTGTATGCTCCAATGTTTTCAATTCATGCATCAATTGGAATATGACATGAAAAGAAAGGATACGCACTGTTCTAAGAGTATCACTCGCCGAACAACAGTACAAAATGATATTGATAATCCGACCATTGTTACTGATTTCCCACAACGAACTTTGTTTGAAATTGCTTTTCAGTTCTATCTATTCAATGCTGAAGTTAACGAACCTTAACTTCAACCACGAAAAGTTGTTTTTATATTTGCAAGTATAATGCCAAGAAGCTTATCAACTATTATCAAACATTGAAATTCGTCAAGTGCACATGCTCAGCGGTACGAAGTAGATACTCGGAACCAGAGCTACTCGGTCAATTTKYCCYAAWAATYAWCCCACATTTCAGTGTGAATGAGACGATAACCAGACAGTAATCGTCCCTCATGCCATTCATGAGGGAGGGATGTTCGCTTGTAAACATCCCTCGGAAGACAAAAGAATCCGAGGTGATCATGGTATTATTAAACTATTASAAGCCCCGGGATTTTGCAACTTGATGATTGGTTGAGACAAAAAAATTGCAATCAGACCTTTCTGGTAAATAAAGAAAGCGATGGAAACGATTTTGTTGTTGTGTTCATATCTTTACAAGTGAACAACGTTAATGTGACTACTGACTGTGTCATCTCAAGAAATGTAAAAGGCATTCATCCTTGCATTGTTAAAGTAATACCTAACCAAACAGGTCATTTAACCAGATAGGAAATGTTAACCGATTACATGTAAAAGTTGTAATTACATCATACACCTAATCGCAAGAAAAAGAACCTTTAGAATTCAGGGATTAATAACTCAAAAGAAAGGGTTCGGCTTGGTTGGTCATCTTTTGTCATTAATGATTCATATTTTCCTAAATCCCCTGAATCACTATAAGGCAAATTTTTGCAAGTAGGTAAGCTCACTTCTAATCGCTCCCTTTGRCCCCAACACGGCATTAAAGACCATCACCGCATCTGCGCGGCCCGCAACCGCAATGTTTCTCTCCCTTGTAAACAATCTGGATTAAGTTAAACATTCTAATGAAAGAATCCTTTCTTGTATAGTTACACAAAAATACGCTAAAAAAATCATTAAAAAATTCCAAACTTATCTTTGTTTGTTTGTTTTTGAAATTGTTGGGATACCAGCGTATATATTAAGCATAAGAAAGTGAAACATAAAACTTATCATAAACTTGAAGCAAGACACACAAAAATAGCGAAATTGATAGAGTTGAATAACTTAGAAGTACAGCAGGGAGTCATATATTCACATAAATTGCATTGAAAAGCCAGAAAAGATTAGCTGGAAGCGCTCTGAAGCACGATTATACCTGTAATTTTGACAAAGCGTCACTAGATCACTATCGGGCTACATGTAAGAAGTTCGGAGCTTTACCAAGTCTAGCACGAAATAATAATAGAATCGTCACTAAAAACATGAACCTGGGAGGTTCTTTGAGTGGTATGATAAGATAAATCATTACGTTTACCAAAAAAGGGGCAAAAACGCGAGCTACCTGCGCAACAACAAAACTGTGTGTAGCTATTCTATAGGCACGAACAGCGAGTTGTCACCTCAGAGAATAGATCGTCCAAAGCTTTGATTTTAAAGCACTTCATTCATGAAAAGGACCATTATTGCGTTTCATATTTACCTTCATTCATTTGAGAGTCTARCAATTCTAAGAAGTTCTGTTTTTGAGCATATTTTCTGGTTAATAAAAATCTCCCGCCAAACTTTCTGTCTTCACTGGTGTGCACGCTGCCAAGTCATTCATTGGTCAATCGATAACTTAACCACAGGTAACCCAAAGTTTATAAAAAAAATGCGAAATGCAAGAAAAAAACAAGATAAACATTTCGTTTTACCATTTTTTTTAATCTTCTGATCTATCATTTAACGTATTTTTTAATCCGTATTTCATGTGGTTTTCAAGATATAACAGTGGCAAAGTTTTTTTTAATTCCTTAGTCTGCCAATGAGATCATACCCTTTCTTTTTTGACCATTATTTAAATCTGAATTTCAAAACAATGCAAAACGTGTATTTCTTTTTTTTTTTCTTTTTTCTTCATATCCATATCTATTTCTTTTAAAGTTTTTTTTGGAGTATGTCTATGTGTTGTCCACACAAAACAAGAGAATTTCTCTCTTGGAGGCAAGAATGCATTTCATGGGCAGGATTTGCTGTAAAGTAGGGGATATATATATTATTTACCAGCTGGGAGTTCTGTATAGGATAGGAAAACACTGCCCGAGGTCTTGACAGTATGGAACGAGTGCAGCGAGGTCCGTTCATAAAAGACCGAGGGCAGTATTTTCCTATACAGACCGAAATATAGCCGGTAAATAACATTTTTATTTTTTTGATTTGTATTTTATGCAACTTTGCTCGAAGCCTAGCTGCAGGATACCATCGGACTGGGCAGATCACGTGTGAAAAAACTGGACCCAGCGCTATCCAATCGCAGCGTGCTAATGACTAGGATACTGGACCAAAAAAAAAATAAGGGGGTTTATTTTATATACAGAATTGTTTGTCACTATAATGTAAATAATTTATTAAATTAGATAATAATTTATTAAAGTAGATTAATTATTTAAGATCAGGTTTAAGAAATTTTCCTTGAATAAATATTCTTGGAACATCAATATTTTCTTTTTTGTTAACTGTTCTTCTTTCTACATATTTGTTCTCAAGAATGCTGTAGCCTGCTTCTCTTGTAAGTGTTTCAATGTATTCTGAAAATGAAAAAAAACTTCATCAAGACAATACGAATGSC